GGATAATGGTAAACAGTTCAATGAAGGTGTCGACATAGTGCATCTGCTGTAAAAAAAAAAAAAAAAAAAAGGCCAGCTGCATGTTAGGGATAATAAGAAAAAGTATTAAAAATTGAGATACTAACTCCATAACAATTTGCTTTCACAAACTCACAATAGGTGTTTTGATTTGAAATAGTAAAGACAAAACATTATACATCCTTAAATAATTGGTATCTTCTGTAAATCTGTCCAACTGAGAATAATTAGAAAGTATAAGTAAATGAAGTACAGTACTGCATAGGGAACTTTCTTGTGAACAGATTCTATATTTTAATTTTTTTGACCTCTCAGGACTGTAAGGAGATGGTTTGTGATGCCATGATATCATCAGAGTAAATACCGAAGGTGCTAATTTTGCGCACTAATTAGTCTAACTTACAGCTCCTTTGTAAGATTGGCCTCATTTTTGAGGACTGCATTCAAAATGAGGACACATTCAAAAACTAGACAGTTGGTGAAAGAATGAAATCACAAGTTCAAAGTGGAATTAAAAAATTAAGTGGATATGTACAGATGCGAGAATATCAATTCAAAAATGAATAAAAATAACCACTCTGTGACATGAAACTATGGGGTGGAACAGAGTTCTCCAACCTTTCTGGCTTTGAGGGCTGGGGTGGGGTGGGGGAGAGGGAATGGCTCCGCACAAGCGGCAAGCAAGCGAGCATGCATATGCATAGCTCCATTTGTGCGAGCTGTGGGAGTGCATGCTTGCCTGCCACTTCTGTGGCCCGGTTCCGAATGGCTCAAAGCCTGGTAGTGGGCCATGGCCTGGGGGTTGGAGACCCTTGATGTGGAAAGTTAATGTAATTTTAGCTAACTTTGGGAATCACTTTCAAAATCCAGAACAATGTTCTTTTCTACAGTCCCCATAACCACTTCCATGACTCTAATGCAATATTTGATTCAATTCTGGTTTGCAACATTTATAAAAATAGAAATTTCTAAAAATAAAAATTTCTAAAAAAAAAAGGCAACCTTACTTGGATAACAAAAGGTAATGGGAAAATTTAGTCTTGTAAATGTACTAAGGGAGGATATATAGAAAGCCCAAAAGTATTTCAAAACAAAGAAGATTAGCTATCACAGGATGGAATGAGAGTAAACCATTAAAACTATCAAATTGTAGCAAATATTAGGAAAAAACCCTCAATATTTTAACACTATATTGTTCCAGTGGACAAGAACACTTAAACAGAGAGAGTCCATTTTTTATCATTGCTTTCTATATAATATGAACATCTTAAAATGCCTTAAGGTCAACAATATAATGTTAAATGCCTTTTCTCTCTGGGTTCATAGCTTTGATTATATATCAAGTGACCATATACTTACCTGTATGTACAAACATGTGCTTGACATAATTCTGTTTGGCTGTGAAAGTCTTGTTGCAGAGGGTACACTCATAAGGCTTTTTTTCACCCTGCCCACCTGCTGTGCTGTGACCTACAGAAGGAGCCAAGGGTTGTGGGGCTGGCAGTTGGGCAGTAAAAGTTGAAAGCCCAGGCTGGGACACTGTCACAAATTGTGCCTGTTGGCCTAGGGGCTGGGGAAGGCTGAAAAGGAAAGGCTTAGGACCACTGCCAGCAGACTGTGTAGTAAAGAGTGCAGGCAAATAGGTATTGCCAGCTGTGCCGATGACCTGTGTGTTGCTGGTCAGGGTCAATGGCATCCTCAGGTTGCTGGTGAGGGTTTCTGTCTGGCGTAAGTAGAGCTGGGTACTTGGCAATGATTGGGCAATAGTTGTAGTGATAGGCTGTAAAGTCCCCTTTTCAGTACTGTTACAAACAGTTATTAGTGCGCTATCCCTTTCAACATCATTTCCTCTTTCTGGTGAAGAAGAGTTAGTATCTGTGTGCTGCTGCTGAATGCTTTCAGCAGAAACATCATTTTGTTCTGGTTGGGTAGGTTCTTGTTGACCTTCTCGACCTAGGCCAGTCATAAATTGCTGCTCCACAGAATCAGGCTCAGTGCCAATGGAGGAACTGACTCCAGAATCAAAACTTTCTCCCTTGGGCTCACTTTCAGCACCTTCTGCTTGATCAGTATCCTCAGTGCATTCTTCAGATTCATTGCGCTCTAGGATTTGCACTCTCTGCTGTCCATAGTAGTCATAATCATCCTCCATTTCTTGCTTGATGTGAATATTGCCCACTAAAGTTTGGATCCGAACTGGACGTGGTTGTTTCCTGCAGTGTGTGGTTTCTGGCGTGGTGGAAAGATACCGCTCCACCTGCTGTGAGCGCTCATGGATCCTTGTAATCCAGCTTGGATCTTCCATATGATGGTCTCTAGAAAGGCCTAGTGCTGTTTCATGGTGGCTGACCACTGCACCACTGTAGAATGAACGCTCGCCACTGCCATTCTGCATAGAACATGCATACAAAGCTGAGTATATCCTGTCCACGCTGTGCTGTGAGTGATTTTGCAGATAACCAGACTCTGTATCACTGCTCTGTCCTGAAGTGGCTGATTCAGGAGTTCCTCGTGGTGTCTCCTGTGCAGAATCCTGAATCAAAGGGTAGATGTCACCCACATTCTGTGAGACAATCCGTGTGCATTCATCAATCACAGTTTTAATCTGCAGGATGCTGGCTGCTGTAAGGATTTGCAGGGCCTCCGATTGTGAGACTCGCAATACTCCACTGTACATGAAGTCAATGAGCTTTTGTACTGATTGGACTGAAACCACAGAAGGAATTTCAATGTCACTGTAGCCCAGTAACAGCTTATCTTGGAAGAAGGGGCTGCCAGCCGCCAACACACAACGGTGGGCACGCAGCATGCTCCCGTGAATGCGAACTGTCACATCACAGAAGTGGCCACGGTTGCGTTGCTCGTTGAGGGTCTCGAGCACAGAATTGCTGAAGTTGTGGAGGTTGATGCTGTGAATGCGCTCTGTCATCCCCCTGCAACTGTTGTTACCTGCCAAAGAAAAAGGCATAAAGATACATTGGTGTTTGAAATATGTATATGGATTTCTTTCTCTTCTCAACAGATGTAAATTTGATGATGCTTTAATTCAGGAATTTGTGCCTAGCTTATTGAAAAACATATGCTTACTAATATTAAGTTTGGAGGCCTTTACCTCTCAAAGTGTGTCAAGAACCATCTTATCCCAAATTTCTTAAAAACATTTATACAAGAATTTTTGTTATCTTTTCTCTTCTCTTAAATACAGAATGAAAAATGTCTAATTATATATTGTTTAAATAACAAAAGTACTTGTTATCAATATTAAAATAAATTTTAATGCTGATTTAAGTAATGCTTTGTTCCTTTCCCATTTTGATACCATATCAATGTAATTAGTAATAAAGAAATGGTTTCAGTGCCTTTAAATAAATAGCATTATAGCTCGACAATACTTTAATCTAGCTAGATTGTTTAATAAATTGATTATCGGTTCCTACTGAAGATCAATTAAACCCGGTTTCATATTTTTCATTAGCTTTAACCTAGGATTCAAGATGACTTTATGCTTTAGAAAATGTATTACTGTTATATACATGGATTGTACAAAGAATAAGAGTCACTTTGCAAAGAGTATTGGCATGAATGAGGCATCTGTCTTTAAGCACAAGGCGGTTTCAAAAGCTTTCTCAAGTTGCCAAGCCATCTATGTGCATGCAAATATCACTTCCATAAGGACCACCAATGAAGCAAAGTGGTTTGCGCGGACATCATGTTGAGACAGCCAAGGATTTTTGAAGCTGCCATACATGTATTACTAAGGGTCTTTGTTTATTAATGTATTGGCATCTCTTTGAACGTTTTGTCCAACCCAGGGTTAATATATAAGAAAGCTATATAAAGACAGAGTAATGAAGCTCAGATGTCAAAAGATTAAGCACTTTTTGAAGAAATAAATACCACTTGAAATTTTAAAAAATTAAAAAATCCAGCTCAATGAGACACAAAAAACATTAAGGGTTCTGTGTTTTTAAATTGTTTGAAAGGGGTATTATTTCTGATCAAAATGTTCAAAATTATTAACTGTCAATCAGCCCATGCCTGATAGCAAGAAAATGAACCAATAGTCTTAAAATTATAATTACAATATACAGATTCTTATTATTCTCATTGTCATCACAGAATAGAGTGCATGTATATGTGGAGGTATCTGACTCATTCTGTTCCCAGACCTGCCACTCTCATTTTAGTTAATACAGTGGGAAATGCTTCTGTGGAACTGAAGCAGCCTTTGTTAAACAGCTTTCTTCTGCCCAATGCATTTAGAAATCGTAAAGGACCTCACATGAGAAGCTACTGTAGAAGGGTTGGGAAAGCAGGTTGATTTAGAAATGGCACACAAATGAAAGAGTGTAAAAATGCAAAGGCTATTCTTATCCAAGCAGGCAATGAATGGGCAAGGAGCCTGAGGGAAAGACTGAGCTTAACACTGATTGTTCACATGTACTATTCTTGTTGAACTGTAGCAAGACAAGAGATTTTATCCTGGGTTTAAGAGTCTGTAAAATGTTTTTGTTATTCTTTATTAATAGTCTGGAATATGCACGCACTATACCACATTGAAGACAAATATCACAATATGCCAGATTCTTTATGCTAAAGAACTAGGACGTACTGAATTCTGAATGATGGAAGAGTTAATTGTACAGTTTGAATGAGTGAGCATGAAATGTAACTCAGAGCTACACAGAATCTAGTAATTATAATTCTCAAACACAGTTAAGGTTGTGGTTTCAGAAATTAGTTAAGACTGAATGCTGGATTTTGATAAACTGGAGTCTAGATAAAAAGCTCACTAGTACTGACATAGAAACTGACATTCTATGTTAGAAAGAAACTATAAGGCAAGATTACTTTTATCTAAAAGGTTTTTTTTTAACCTGATGCTTTGCATATATTTGGGACTAAGATTCCCAGTAGAATTAGCCAGCTGCCATTGGGGTATGGTGGACATATATGGCTGCACATCTGGAAAGCTAGTTTCTGTTTGGTTATGCAAATATAAGGAATCACATGTGGTCTGCTTCTGCATTATTAACCTCCAGGAGTTAATAATAGTTAATAATAATAGCTAATAATAATTTCTCAAGCATCAAGCTTGATAAATTCTTCATGGTGTCTATAGGACCTTTTATTTTTTACAATGTCTACTTTGGTCAGATTTAACTGAATACATGTTTTCTGAGAAGTCTACAAACAAACAGACTGAACACAGGTACGAATTAAAATTCAAGGCTATCCCATGCAGTAAGAGAAGTGAAGTGCCTACACTGCCCTTTCTTACTCTGCTCTATTGATATACTATTATCAATATGCTGAGGATAACCAATTCTACATTAATGCAGGGTAGGCAGCCTGGATAGAAAGAAGCTGAAAGCAAACAAGATGGAGCTGCTATTTGCTCCTCAAGGTTTTATGCTGGCTCTATTGTTATCTCCAAAAGAAGTAATATTTCTCTTTCAGGAGCAGATCTGCAATTTGATAGTTCACCTGGACTAATGACTATTGCTGATTGGCAAGTGAAGTTTATGGAAAGGAAACCTTTATCCAGTTTCATCTGGTATATCAGTTATAGGCCTACCCATCTTCAAAAAAGGGAAAAAAGTGGACCCAGGAAATTACAGACCTATCACCCTGACCTCAATACCTGGGAAGATTCTGGAAAAGATAATCAAACAACGAATCAGTGAACACCTAGAGGCAAACAAAGTCATTAATTACTAAAAGCCAACATGGGTTTGTCAAAAATAGATCATGCCAGACAAATCTTATCACATTCTTTGACCAAGTGACAAAATTAGTGGATCAGAGGAATGCTGTGGATATAATTTACTTGGACTTCAGTAAGGCATTTGATAAAGTAGATCACAACCTACTACTTGATAAGATACAAAAATGTGGGTTAGACAGCATCACCACCAGATGGATCCGTAGCTGGCTGACCGGCCGTACTCAGCGTGTGGTCCCCAATGGAACCGCATCTACATGGAGGGAAGTGTGTATTGGGGTGCCCCGGGGCTCTGTTCTGGGCCCAGTGCTCTTCAACATCTTCATCAACGATTTGGACGAGGGGATAGATGGGGAAATCATCAAATTTGCAGATGACACCAAGTTGGCAGGAATAGCCAACATTCCAGAAGACAGACTTAGGATACAGGAGGATCTGGACAGACTTGAACACTGGGCGCTATCTAACAAAATGAAATTCAATGGTGAAAAAAGTAAGGTTCTACATTTAGGCAAGAAAAACCAAATGTACAGGTATAGTATAGGGGATACCTTGCTCAATAGTAGTAACTGTGAGAGGGATCTTGGAGTCCTAGTGGACAATCACTTAAATATGAGTCAGCAGTGTGCTGCAGCTGCCAAAAAGGTCAACACAGTGCTAGGCTGCATTAACAGAGGGATAGAATCAACACCATGTGAAGTATTAATACCACTTTACAACACCTTGGTAAGGCCACACTTGGAATACTGCATCCAGTTTTGGTCACCACGATGTAAAAAAGAAGTTGAGACTCTAGAAAGAGTACAGAGAAGAGCAACAAAGATGATTAGGGGACTGGAGTCTAAAGCATATAAGGAAAGGCTGCTGGAATTGGTTATGTCTAGTTTAATGAAGAGAAGGACGAGGGGGGACATGATAGAAGTGTTCCAATATCTCAGGGACTGCCACAAAGAAGAGGGATCAAGCTATTTTCCAAGGCGCCTGAACGCAGGACAAGAAGCAATGGATAAAAACTAATCAAGGAGAGAAGCAACCTAGAACTAAGGAGAAAATTCCTGACAGTTAGAACAATTAACCAGTGGAACAACCTGCCTCCAGAAGTGGTGAATGCTCCAACACTGGAAGTTTTTAAGAAGAGACTGGACAGCCATTTGTCTGAAATGGTATAGGGTTTCCTGCCTGAGCAGGGGGTTGGACTAGATGACCTCCAAGGTCCCTTCCAACTTTTTTTATTACTATTACTATTACTATTATTATTTAAAGCTGATCCTAAGAGCTTGTCATCACCAGCTCTTAGAATTACTGCAGAGGGGGATTGCATTTAAAGATCACCAGGTTGGTTCAAAATGCAATAGTGGTTAACCAAAACTAGGTGCCAACTATGCATTATATCTGTACTGTGGATCTTCAAAGCTGCCCGAAGGCTTTTCAAAGTGGTGATTTAACTTGTAAGGCCCTATATAGGTAATCCCCCAGACATGAGCATTTATTTAGCGAGATTTCACAAAAACGAGGTTATTCAGAAAGGGTACTTACATTAGAAATTCAAAATTGCGATCAAAAACAAGCCTCTGTAGCCATGTGACTTGGATTCAGTCTTGGCTGCTGCGGTGGCCATTTTAACTCTGTGACTTGCCTGGGCATGTTCAGGTCTACGAGAAGCGGGAAGTGGTTTTTTTTGGGGGGGGGCTGTGCCTGGTCACATGGCCAAACAAGATCTGGTGATTTTTGCAGCTGGCACAACCGTTTGTTTTTGTTTTCCTGGAGCTGCATGGAAGATCTGCTGCTTGCTAGGCTTGAGGACTACAGCACTGTACTGTAGAGAGCTAGAATTACTTCTGTAAGTATTTTAAAATGTTCTATTTTGTTACTCTATAGTATTGTACTATATTGTTTGTAATCACTTTGGGAACTGCTCTGCTTTTTATTGTGTTTGTAAGTACAGTATTTTGCAAGATTGTTTGTTTGCATTTGCCTGAAACTTATAGCATGTGGCTGCTGCTGCCTCCTCTCCCTAGCACAGACCCACCAGAGATTCTGCTGACCCCTTACTGGAAGGAAATCCCCCCTCCACCCCATTTTGGATTTTGCCTGGAGAGGCTTGTGCTGATCAGGGGCAGTGGTTTTTTTTAAAGGTTTTAAATTTAAATTGCCTGCAGAAGTTGTGGGTATTCCTTCACTGAAGGCTTTTAAGAAGAGATTGGATAGGCATTTATCAGAAATA